CCTTGCCTAGTCATTCTGAAACCTGCCCCTTTAGCCCATCCTGATTACTTGCACTGCATTTGTTTTGTTTTCCAAAGCATATACCCCCTTCTAAAATAATATTCGTTTATTATGCTTATTATTTGTTTGTTCACTGATGTATGCTATACGTTTACAACAGTGTGTGGCACATAGTGGGTGCTCAGTAAATATTAGTTGAATAATATTAAAACTGTATTAACATGGCACTTTAGAGATTACAGACATCTATAAAATGAGGGGTCTGGGTGGAATAATATAACCGTTATATAATTGAAAACGTAGTGGTTATATGGTTCACTGCATCTTTGTGGAACAGAGAGATTTATTGCCTTGGTCTTGGAAACATGCGATGTTAACTTCATCAGAGTAATATATATATATATATTCGTGTGTGTATCTTGATTCATGATTTGTTTGCAGAATGAAACCATGTGCTGGCAGCAACCTTAACCCGCTTCTTATTGTGAAGCCTCTGGGGAAAACATAAACTTCCCAGCCTGCTTTACTGGCTGTGGACAATTTTTACAGTTTCTAAGAGGATTCAAAACTCTGTCCACCCCCCCGTTGTTGGCGCCATGGATAGTTGCATAGATTTATGGACCCATTATGTTATTCCACAACTTTGCATGAGAGCTGATGAGTGTGATCATGTTTTACTAGTGCACAACCTGGTTCTCATCACGTTTGAGATGGTATTGTGTCCAACATTCATGTTTAAGGAAGGAAGTTTCCTTTGAAAATTGAGCTCACTGTTGATTTTATAGAGGAACAAATTGAATGTCATGTGACAGCATTTGTTAGGTGAGGCCCAAGCAGGTCTTTCACGCAGGCTGGGGTAGTTGGCCTTCTGACATGGCTGGTGTGATAACTTGGATGAAGGAAAAAAGGAATCAGATAATTGCTACCAGCTGCAAGCATCATATTATACTTTTCATTCAAGTTGGCCAAGTTTTGAGATCCATTTTTCGGAGTAAATTTTGTGCTGATCTTATCTATGCTTTAATTCACATCCCTCACCCAGAGTGGTTGAATGATGATGATTCTACACCCAGGAGAGAGACTTCATAACACTCCCCACCCCCAACAATAAGGAAATAATGAGTATTCTTGCTTCTCCTATTGAGCTATAAGGAAGAACCCCATTTATGAGTCTTTTTAATACTATCAATTAGATATACCTGTGAATGATTTGTTTACTGCACCATTTAACTGAAATATTTACACAATAAATGATTTAATGTATGGGATTTTTCTTCCAGTAGATGGAAGATGGGAGGGTGGGGCACAGAGTAAACAAGATTGGTTATGAGTTGATAATTATTGAAACCCGGTGGTGCTACATGGGGGTTCATTACACTATATTTTTGTATATGTTGTAAAATTCCCTTGATAAAAGGTTAAAGAAAAAAAAGAAACTTGGCAAATGTGCCATTTAAACTAAGCCCAAAGGTAAGTATGTATTATATACAAATAATGGAAAATACAGTGTGACTATGGATGAACCAGTTAAATATCATAATATTAGAAAGACATGGGACCATTGTCCTAGCTGGTTGCCCTTGACAAAGTCACTTAGTCTCAATAGAGCCATCTGTAAAATGGGAATACTCTTTATACCTAACTCATAGAACTTTTTAAAAAGTTATATAGCTAAAAATACTTTGAAATTGTCAAACTGCAGCGGG